TTGGTTCCCAGAATGCTGAACTTATCTAAATGACTCAGCTAATTAAATAAAAATTTATCATATTTGGTATGTAGTAGATGATCTCAGAGAACCAGTTTCCGCATAGACATTGGCAAATGATCTGTTTAAATGTGAGAAAGTGACGTTAACGATGGATACCATTTATGCTGATCTAAAATAGTAAATAATGCCAAACTATAGAATATTTTTTTATTGATATAACATACTATTGGTTGGTTTGCTCCACATATTGCGAGATTGCAGTCTTTTTTTCCCAAAACCCAAGCTTCATCACATCCTATTATACGTTTTTCCATTTCCCTACATTATGAAATAGTGTGATATAAAAGGGCAAAATATTTTGTTGCACTACATCACAATATGACTATCATAAAGTAGTAAAATAAGGGTCGTTTAGTTTACCAAATATAGGCATTTGTTTAAATTTAATGTAAACTTTTGGGGAAGTACTCTCATTTCTTTTCCTAATAAAGTCCAAGCTTACGAATTTTTTTTACAGGCTCATAAGTTGACTAAGGGGTATGATGATTATATGTTTGTTTCTATCATATAAATTTATTGAGTGTATCTAGCCTGCATAGGCAAATAAATTAATAGAGATTTGGACACAAATACAAATTTGTTTGTTAACTTTTATAATGTCAAGGTGTGGTTCGAGAACAAGTTAGTTTTTATAGAGTGTGAACTTCGAAATTGTTTTATTTGGTTTGAGCAAGTACATGACAATAGCGATAAACAACCCAATGTGAGTATAAAAGCAGACTTCATTTTAAATGAATATGCTTCATTTCTTCTCCTTCTCCTTTGAACTGTACAGCATTTCCGAGATCATATAGTTTTAATGACAGCTTCTAGACGGTCTCGAACTCCATTTGTGGTCTTTAAATCAACAAACATCCCATACCTGCAACAGCATTGCCTGAGTCAAAGGACAGAACCTATTTTCTTTTGTTCGTCACAATTTTTCCATGTCTCTTGAGGTAAGCTTAGTTGAGGCATGCGAATTGAATCAGAGTGGCAAGTAAGCCTTAAATTCACCTTCCCGTGGCCAGTCTAAATGATGCCTGATTTCTGCAACCCAATACATTTTAACAGCCCTCAAGACTTTTTCCAACACCAACTTTAACAATAGTTCTAGCTATGAACTTGTAAACATAGAAAACTACATCATAGTAAATATTCTCTCCACCCTTGGTCATTTGACTAGTCATTCCGTCAAATGAAATGCATTATGATGATGAACTTTTGCTCTGGACGTAGGAATGAGCAGGAAAGCTACCTATTGATAAGGCTGAAGGCAAACAAACTGCTTGAGGCAAGGAAAAGTCTATCTGAGAGCTGTCAGGATTAGTATATCCATTTTCCAGCTACTTTTCAAAGGGATATAAACAAAATTAAATATTTATGCCCAGGCATTTCACTTCTAGACCATTTCGGATACTGAAGTTATGTATACAATTTGGAGGAAAGAGATTATTAAGCATAGTTCACCATTTAATTTCGATGATACTAACAAAATCAGTCTCATTCTGTTGGCCATGGTATGTTGGCTGGTAAGGACGAAAATCCACATGCTCGTGACGAAAATGAAGGTAATATCAGCTAAATGCTATGGGCTATTTTCAAGTAATCTGGTTTCCTGCTCAACCGAAGCTGGCAACACAAATAGCCAATAGCGGATCAGAACAGTGGCCGGAATCAGACAAGGTTTCTTGATTGAGAATTTTCACACCTGCCGGACTGAAGGGCGCTTCTTCCTTATCAAAAGATAACTGGGCCCATCATATTCTACTGGTCAATTGGTACATTTTATCAGTCGGCTTAAGCTGCCTCTAGTTTGTGTCTTCAAGTTTGGAGATTTAGTGGGCTGAGGAAACACACATTGAATACAAATAAAATGAGCTTAAGCTGCTGAAATGAGGTTTCATAAAGGGAAAATTTATTGTAAATGAAATACTACATTCTTCTTGAGAATAGAGTTAGCCTTAACTGTGAATATTAGGGGACAGAATAGGGATATTCCTCAAACGAGGTTATGAGATGACAGGTTCATGGAGTTTATTAGCCATTATCGGTGGGAAGAATTTAAATATCATGGCTCCTAACTAAGCGTTAAATAAAATCAAGGAGTTAGTGGCATAACTCATATCTCATCTGCTTGTGAACTCATCCGCTTTGGGCCCATTCATGAGTAAGAATGCCTTACAAGCTTGCTATACCAGATTTGTGATTGTCCGTTTCATACAAAGCTACTGAAAATGCAGATAATATTTTAGTACAAAAAAGTAACATTTGTGATTAGGCTGTCTTTAGATTTAATTTTTGCGCAAGTCATGTATACTTCAAGTAAATTACGTCATAGATGCTAACGCCTAGTATGGTTAAAGCAGTGTAACATACCATTTTGAAATTTATTTAATTTTCCCAATAGCGCATTCGCCCAAAACTGAATTTTTGGTTGCCATGCCTTCCCTTGCATTTCTTTGTTAATGTCATCAACACGGCAACAAACATTGATGAAAGGATGTTTCTATTATTTTTGGTCACTAAGGTCTGGAGTTCTATGTCGGTTGCCAAAATGCCAATGCAAAGGGTATTTCTATTTTTTGTGCTCTTCAAAAAAATCTTCATGGTCTTCATTTATATACCTATGCAATTACAGACTTTTGGTGGTTCATTTTCTCACCAACAATCAATACGAAGGAAAATTGGAGGAAAACAAAATAAAATAGGCTTGTATTAAGCCTCCGGTATCTTTTCAAAACCTGTCTAGGCCATTTATTTATCCCTTGTTTTTAGCCTATGTTCTATTTTTCATCATAAATTGTTTGCGTTGAGACTAATTTTATTCTCCTAAATCCATGCTTTTGGGTAGTACCAAATTATACTTCGTTTCCTCAGAGTCGAAACTTTGAGTTTTTTAACTGTTTGTCTTTCTCAGAAAGACTATTTATTTTGCCTTTGCGAGTCAAATTTTAAAATGATCATACAAAAGCTTTGCTCTCTGATATGAAAATTTTCTGATGATAGGTCTCTTTGACTTAGACATAATGTGATCTTCGATAGTTTAAATATGATTACGGCAAAATTTATTTACGCTTTATTTTGTGCTTCCACTCATTTGATTGATGATTTTGCGAGTTTTTTCGTTTTTGCATTACTGTGTACATAAGGTCTATTGGTTATTGTCTAAACTTCAAGATAACTTGACATTTTTGCATTCTACTTTCTTTTTATTTTAAAGGACTTCTATGAAACTATTATCATTTTTAGCGAGATTTAAGGGAAAGAACCGTGAGAAGGGGCATAATGTTAATCTTGTTTTGATTAAAATTACTTATTCTTTGCGCATACACTTGTAAGCATTTCCATACGCATTAAATTAGGCAATAATCCCCATGACAAATTTTTCTTAACGATATTGCGATTAACGAATTATTTGGGCAAATTTTTATTAGCGTATTAGTCCTCAAAGCGAAATATCAAAGCCTTATCCGTGTGTACATCCGTGCAAATTTGTCAGGATACGAATACAAGAGATATTCAAGTTTATCTAATGCCCATATAACAAAGTTTTTTACACATAGTTTAATTAGATCTAAACATTTTATTACAAAATTGGTGATAGGACGACTCTCAGTAAATTAAATCTTATACTAGCCTAATTAGTGGACAGACATAATAGAATGGGATTTCACAGTAAACTTGGATTAACATATTTACAATAGAATGATTTTGGTGATTTTCACATTTTGGTACAATGAGATGCAGTAATTTCTAAAATCATAATGAGCTTATAAGTGGCGGATATTATCTATACATATAGATACGCAGAAGTAGGAAGGAAGAAAAAAAATTGATTCTTACTAAGTATACGCGATTAAAAACTAGAGGCTCTAGCAAAATATTTTAACTTTGTTATCCATGACATTTTTAGCTTTAAAATACCGAGTAGTGGCAAGTATTTTCCTAGGCTTAGCAAACTCATCTTCCAATTTCAAGTTATTTTTATGCAAGGAATGTCACCTGTAGTTTTTGTTAGAATGGGGATTACTATTGGGCATTGGTAGAAAATAATATTGGTTAAAGGACTTTTAAAGAATTGGCAGTATGCTATAGAATAAATTTATTTGGTTAAAGCATTTGATTTCAAGAAAAATCTACTTACTCGTAAACGAATGTGCGTCTGAAATTTTGATCCAATCATCAGTGAGTTGGTATTCTGTGAGAGATGGGAGTCCTCCTCGACTCCAGTTGAGGAGGACACGAGCTTGTTCCCTAGAGACCCCGAGGTCTTGATAGTGACATGGAAGCCGACGTAACCGTCGTTCGGCATTAAGTAATCATAGTCTTGTGGATCCAAAAGCAATTGTAATTCAGAAGATACTGTTGCGCGCATGAGATAAATGGCATTGGATAGCACAAACATGTTGTGAATCAATAAAATATGCGGAAAAAAGTAATTAATACAGCAAAATTTAAAGATTTAAGTTTTATGAAATTGAATATCTTTACGTAGGAGGCATAGAATATGTGTATACTAGTCTTTTTGCCAAGCTTCTTTGGACATCATCAGTGTTTATTCATTTCTGTAGGACTAATATCAGCTAAATTGCATCTATCGCTTAACATGCCATCAAAAAGTGTAAAACATGAAAAAATAAATGTCAAATTTGGCTTGAAATAGAAAGAGTTGCAAACCAACTTGTTGATTGGTTGAGACTAAACGAGAAGCAGATTCCCGAAGAAGTGACCCTTTGCTCGAAATCATCCGCCGAACAAGTAGATGCTCCCAGCTGGCATCTGAAATACCAGGTAAGAAGACAATGGTTATGAATGAGCTTAATTTAACAAATAAAAGTAGAAAATTATAATAAAGAATACATCCTGTATTTTTATAAAAATAATAGATTTCAACGAATCTTGACAAACCTGCATGAAAACCTAGAAGAATGTGCCTCGTAACTTGTCATCTGACAATATTGTCATTCGTTTTTAACGCATCAAACCTTAGACAGGATACAAACCCACATTTTTTTGGTACCTTAGTCATCATCATCAGTGATCGTAGCAGGCCCCATGACCAAATTACAAAATCTTATAACGAAAAGTGAAACCGATCTTAGCACTGGTCTGGAGGTGCCTGTTCTTCATGTTATAAACATAGAACTGAACTCAGGACTGATTTATCGAAGTCAGGAAGTGGTACAGCAGATAATTCTTATTTTATAAACATGGTTACTCAGAAGCAAAATAGGAAGGGATAGCATAGAATGGATCTGTGATCTTATCTTTTATAAAAGCTGGTAAGAAACAAGCCCGACGGCAAGGGCGATTATTTCACAGAGGGCTGGATGACCAGCTTTTTTCAGGCCTTCTTGAATACACCTTTTGCAAACGCTCCGATACATTTATATTGTGGGAAATTTTCCTTTTGCGCTA